AATGTCCAATCATCCCTAAATCAGTCAGCAGAATCTAGACAAGCACAACATATAGAGTAGTGTTCAGAGATATGNAGTCAGAATGAGGAGCGTTTCTCCTGAAAACAGCGGAGTAATCTGACTATGGGGGAGCAGAGTAATCCGACTATGGGGGAGCAGAGTAATCCGACTATGGGGGAGCAGAGTAATCCGACTATGGGGGAGCGGAGTATTCTGACTATGGGGGAGCGGAGTATTCTGACTATGGGGGAGCGGAGTAATCTGACTATGGGGGAGCGGAGTATTCTGACTATGGGGGAGCGGAGTAATCTGACTATGGGGGAGCGGAGTATTCTGACTATGGGGGAGCGGAGTAATCCGACTATGGGGGAGCGGAGTATTCTGACTATGGGGGAGCGGAGTAATCTGACTATGGAGTAATCAGACAATGGGGGAGCGGAGTAATCCGACTATGGGGGAGCGGAGTAATCCGACTATGGGGGAGCGGAGTAATCTGACTATGGAGTAATTCGACTATGGGGGAGCAGAGTAATCCGACTATGGAGTAATCAGACTATGGGGGAGCGGAGTAATCAGACTATGGGGTAGCGGAGTAATCCGACTATGGAGTAATCCAACTATGGAGTAATCTGACTATGGAGTAATCAGACTATGGGGGAGCGGAATAAACCCATTTCCGCATGTAAAGCCGGTTATTTCTCTACTCCTTGATTAGATGTTGTGCTCGTCTAGAAAATGCTGCTTGATTTCGGGATTTTTGGACATTTGGACTGTAAACGAGACTCATACTCTGCGTTATAGGAGCCTGTGTGTCCGTCTGGTTGTTTGTTTTAGTCTGGTCATCAGCTCTGCGGTAAGTGTGGATCTTTTAACCGCTCAGTATCGACACACACACACACACACACACATGCGTGGAGCTGCTAGCGTGATCAGACTCTGCTGTATTTTATGGGTTTTATGTCTTTTGGAGGATGATGGAGCAGATTCAGCTTCTCATTCTGGATGATGAATCGTCTGTATTTTTGTTTTGTTTGTTTTTTTACACTAAAATACAAAAGAAAACCACAGTCTCGCTCGTGTCTTCTGTTGGTGTGTGTGCGTGTGTGTGTGTGTGTGTGTGTGTGGACTGGAGGTTTATAACAGCAGATTCTGTATGTCAGATGACTGTAGTGAGTCTGTGTTCATGACTGTGAGCAGCAGCAGCGGCTGTACAGTGAAATCTTTAGAGATGTTGTTGTTTGACAGATATTGGTCAGTCAGTCCGCTAGTGAGGTCAGATATCTGTAATCTAGAGTGCTCTATAACGGAAACAGTGTATAAACGTCCAAAGTCTGCATTTCGTCTCCTGCCTGAATGGATCAATGGTGTATTTCTTGTCGTCAGCCCATACTTTACTTTTTGACCAATCTGATGCTCGCTAGTATCTGCCATGCCCCGCCCCCTTCAGGACACTACTGCAATAAGCTTAAACACTGGTAGAAATGGGTCATGATGCTAAATCTGGTATTCACCTGATAGCATCTAAATACAGCGCTAGTAACGCCAGTATTGCTGTTTCTATTTTTCACCTTTGCAAACATCAAAAGAGTTACGAAATACAAAACAGCAGAAACTCCAATCTTCCCAGAGCCATAAGAACACAGGAGGAGGAGGATATCAGAGCATGAATTACACCTGAAAAAAATAACACATTTTGCCAGGTGAACAGAGGCAATGGGCAGTAGGTTTGGGCAATAGGGTTAGGTAGTAGGGATGGGCAATAGGGTTAGGCAATAGAGTTGGGCAGTAGGCAGTGAAACCATTTTCTTTGGTATTTCTGGATTACTGCAACTCTCTACTAGCCGGGCTTCAGCTAACTCTATCAAGCCTCTTCAGCTGCTCCAGAACGCAGCAGCACGAGTGGTCTTCAATGAAGCTAAACGAGCACATGTCACTCCGCTGCTCATCCGTTTGCACTGGCTGCCAGTTGCTGCTCGCATCAAATTCAAAGCTCTGATGTTTGCTTACAAAACGACTTCTGGCCTAGCTCCTTCTTATCTGCTCTCACTTCTGCAGATGTATGTGTCCTCCAGAAACTTGCGTTCTGTGAATGAACGTCGCCTCGTGGTTCATCCCAAAGAGGGAAGAAATCACTTTCCCGAACTCTCGCGCTCAATCTGCCCAGTTGGTGGAATGAACTCCCTAACTGCATCAGAACGGCAGAGTCACTCGCTGTCTTCAAGAAACCACTAAAAACTCAACTATTTAGTCTCCACTTCCCTTCCTAATCTGCAATTGCCTCTCTGAATATCACACTAACTGTACCAAAAAAAAAAAAAGTACTAATACTTTCCTGCTTAGACTTTACACACCTGAAACTCGCCTACAGCACTTCTTTATTGTTGCTCTTATAGTTGTGTAAATTGCTTCCTTGTCCTCATTTGTAAGTCGCTTTGAATAAAAGCATCTGCTAAATGACTAAATGTAAATGTCTTTGAGGACCAAGTGCAAATACTGCTTCCTTTGTGTTTGCTCTATTTATTTATATATTTATTTATTTTCCTGCAGTTGCTGATAAGATACTTTTTATAATTGTTTCTACCGATTCATTTTTTTCTTGTCCTCTCTGATACGATACTTTTTTTCTTGTGCTCAGCATTATCAATACTTTTGTACTTGTTAATACCCATACACTTTTTCCTTGTAATTGCTGATTCTCTTCCACTCGCCCTCTACAATATCTTTCATACTCTGATATCAATATTTTTATGTACTTTCCATTATTGATATCTTTTTTTTTCTAGTACTCTTCGATACGATACTTTATTTCTTCTACTCGCTGATGATGAAACTACAACCTACTCGCTGTCAGAGCTGAGATTAACTAAACACTATTGGTTGTTGTTTTTTAGGGGGAGGGGCTTCTGTCTTCATGTTTAGTAGAAATGACGTCACAGTAAACACAGATGTACAATTCAAAACCCTTCAGGGGAACATTCAGACTGACCTGATCATACAGTTCAGATCAGCAGTATCAGACATGATCAGTGACTTCACACACACACACACACACACACACACACACGACAGCATTTATAGATTATAAATATTTAATTAGATCATAGTAAAAAAGAGGATTATTTTAAAATAATTGTGCATCAGATATTGATTAGAACTGAACATAAAAAGAACTGCAGTTCAGTGGTCAGACCTACAGGTCACACACACACACACACACACACACACACACACCTTTACACCCTAATGAAGCGTTATTGCACCAGATATATCTGTCATTTCATAAACCTGAGCAGGAGGAAGCCTATAAACTATAAAATAATGCATCAGAAATGAACCCAGTGTAGCAGTCAGACACCCACATTACTGCAGTAAAAACACCAGCAGCACTGTAACACCGTGTACAGCACCGGCCCAGGCCACAGAGGTGAGCATGTGCGGCAGGAGGAGTTTGTGTAACATTAATGTGTGCAGAATATGAACACTGACCTCAGATCAACACACACACACACACACACACACTCTGAAACTGAGATGTGGGAGACTGCAGACCTCTGAACACAGACAGGCTCAGCTCGGATATCCATGAAGGCGTCCTCTTCCTTTACTCTTTACTGAACATTGACTTCCTCTGGTGAAGAGAGTTTGAAGAATGCTGGATTTAGAGGAGTTCTGCAGGATATCTGTGTTCAACAGGAGGACAAACGGCTTTTGTCAATGATGAACTGAGCCGTTGTGCACACAC